TGGCTCCGGAAACGGGAAGGTTTTGTCTTCAGAAGGCAAATATCAAGCATTTTGTGTATGCTGTTGATGATATATTTTATAGGAGGAATCTCGTTAGAATCACACTATGGGGAAAGGTGACGAAAATCAACGACCTTATATCTGTCGCCACAAAAACGTGTAACGGACATATGATGAACAATCTGGGACTTTCTGACATTCAGATGCATCCGGAGAACACTGAGGGGCCCGGGGGACACAGGTGATTCTACATTCGGTCACGGAAAATGATGGATGCCGCTGATGAGCTCCAGCCGGCGTGAGACTTCCAGTTATGTGTGAAGTGATTGGAACACTTGCCTTAGTGCGAGGGGAATACTAGTCTGCTAAATATATTTTACAACACAAGGCACAGCGGGATTGACGCTGTCAAGATGAAAACAGAACGTTTAGGAATCAAAATTATCGGCGGAACTGAGTGAAGGGAGATACAGCCGGTCGATAGAGACTACCATTATAGGCCTAGTTATTTGGGCGACAATCAAGCTCAGACTAGCGTAGCATGGATGATCACGTCGATTTAGCAAACCTTTATTACTAAAATAAAATGGATTGTGCATTACAGGAAGCCTGTTTTTCAGGATTCCACACAACAGCGGAAGACAGATCTACCTTGTGTTACAACTTAAGTCATTCTCCATTGTATACAGTGACCATCTTATAACGATTTTTAACGTGTGTCTACCGACCCAACACCATATGAGAATGATAGAAGTTCATCCATTTTCTCCTCATCTGTCCCATCAACCCAAATGAAGTGTGCGGGGCTCAGAATTCATGCGAATCCGTTTGAATTGGGAATAATAACTGAATTCGTAGAATCACTTGTAACTAACCCATAAACATTGGACCCAATGCAAACGCTAACTCTGTTCGTCTAAACGCAGCATCTTGAATGAAGATTGCAGCAGCTGAAGAGATCTGAACGTACGTCTGAAAGCGTGTATGGCTCTAACAGCCTTTCGGTGTCCAACTGCCATGCCACCCAAAGGAAGCACGAAGGCTTGTCACCTGTCGAGCTGCACAAGCCTAGATAGGAGAAAGTCGAGAAGAGGAGATCGGGTTCGAACCACAGACTTTCTCGTCAGTAAATTCACGAACTAACAACTGAACCATCCCGAACGGCCGCGAGCAACCGGTTCCTCTAAATCCAGTCACGGACAGCTCATCTCCAGAATACATTCCATAATACGAGATCGCAGGAATTTCCAAGGTTTTGTTCTACGTGGGCAATGTGACAAGAGCGCAATTGGTATGATTCAAAAGAAGGTCTATAACTTGATGTAGCCGGTCGACGGTGATTGCTTCCCCAGAACAGCCATTTGAGCGCAAAACAAGCTCCGGATAATACCTCGTGTTTTGATAGTTTGGCATAGCAGCCCGCAATTCTTCAACGAGAGTGCATTCTGCTGAGTCCATTCATCAGGACATTCTTGGCCCAAACTATTCATCAAGTGACCGACCGTGTCACGTTTCCACATGTTACCCCAAACTCTTAATGCAGAAGCTGTTACTTTAAATTCTCTAGGTACATTTGTGGCGAGTGAATTTGCACCAGAACGGAAAAAATCGGACTCACCGTCTATGCTCGATCGACGGTTATGTGTCCAGCTGTCAGTTCCCAATGATGTGTTAAATCAGCCTGACGGCTTGCAACACTAATCCCTGCTCTAGCGTATACGGTTCCTCGGCCTGTGTTGTGAGGATTCTGTGAGGGAGTGTCAAGCCCTCCGTTCTTGACTCCAGCACACGCAAACTTGGTGTGTCCCACTCGCCAGATCTTGTTTGATGCAACACATTTTGAACGTGCTGTTTCGGAGGTTGTAATTCATCGCTTTGAGACTTCCAACCATTTCGGAGGTAACGATATCCTTTTCAACAGCTATTTGGAGAACTGCTGAGTGCAAATCGGTTGCGCTTAAGAAGGGGTAAGCTTGAGAGAACAGCGCTTAGTTGGTTATTGATTTATTCGCCGGCATTGGCAATAAACTTGCGGGCGTATTGTCAACAATCCTGAAGATATCATTGCTGTGAGGCTGGGTATGCCCAAAGACGTACACAAAAACAGAACCATATTCCAAGGACATTTTCTTCAAGATTTTCGACGATCTGAATTTCATCTTCTGCTGAGGCATTTCAAATCCCTTTAGCATGAAGAAAATTCGGTCGGATTTCATATGACTTTCCAAAGCGTTTTCAGCCAATTCATCAATTTGTTTCTCATTAATATGTCAATACATTTGTGGCTTTGTTGCGCATATCTTCAAGTGTTCCCTACGCACATCAAAGAAGAGCGCACAATATGACGTGTTGCTTGCACCTTTGGTGACGATGCCGTCGGTAAGTGTTTCTCAGATGCCAATCAAGTTTTGGTTCTCCTCGGAGTACCCCCTTCCGCATATCCCGATCGCCATGCTGAAATACAATGTTTGAATTTGAAGGTCTTTATTGTTTTGCCACCTCATCCACTCACCACTGGATTGAGTGAGCATCTTATAACAATTTTTAACGTGTGTCTGCCGACCCAACATCATATGAGGATGATATAAGTTCATCCATTTTGTCTTTATTTGACACATCAACCGAAAATCAAGTCATCAAATGAAGGGCGCAAGGGTCAGAAGTCAAGTGAGCCCGTTTGGAACTAGTGAATAAATTCTTAGAAACATTTGAAAGTAAACGGTATACATTGGACCCAAAGCAAACGCTAACTCTGTTTGTCTAAACGCAGCATCTTGAATGCAGAATGCAGCAACTGAAGAGATCAGAACGTACGTGTGAAAGCGCATACGCCTCTAAAAGACTTTCGGCGCCCAACTGTCATGCCACCCAAAAGAAGCACGAGGGCTTGTCCACCAAAAGGTTGCTCAAGCCTAGACAGGGGCAATCGAGAAGTGGAGGTTGGATTCGAACTACTCAATCCACTGAAGGACCGCCTGTAAGCGGTACCTCTCAGGTCAATCACGGACAGCACGAAGAATGCTATTCTCTCGAATACATTTGCAGTACATGCGCAACGCGACAAGTGCGAATTCGGTGTGATTCAAAGGAAGGTTTATAAATTGATGCAGCTGGTCGACGGTGATCGCTTCCCAAGAACAGCCATTTGATCGATAACCTAAATCCGAACTACACATCATGATTTGGCTTATCCAGCCGTCAGATAACACATAGTCGTCTTTTAGTTTGGCTTGGCCAGCCCTCAATTCTTGAACGAGAGTGCATTCTACTGAGTCTGGTCATCGGGACATTCTCGGCCAAAACTATGCAAACTACTCAAAACAATTTTTAGCAGTTCATGGAGTTCCTAAATCGTCTCGTATTTTCGATCGGCTGAATTCCCGTGCACTCAGGTTTACCGATCATTTGGAGTCCTAAACGTTCCGATTTCATCTTGATAACAACGACCATGTTGTTTCTTGTATTGTAAAATACATTTAGAAGAATAAAATTCCCTTGTATTAAGGCTAGTATTCCAGTCGCATCTCACCTAACTGGAAGTTCCACTCCGGCTAGAGCCCATCAGTGGGACCCATCATATTCCGTTACCGAATTCAGAAGCACCTGTGTCCTTCATCGTTCTCCAGGTTCATCAGAATGTTTACCAGTTGACTGTCATAAGTGTTGACTGAGTCGACAGACCTACAACCGTGGATTCTTGTTACCTTTCCACATAGTGTGATTCTAACGAGATTTCCCCTTAAGAAGAGATCATACACAGCCCGCACAAAATATATGATACTGGGCTTCTGAAGAAAAAATCATTCGGTTCCCGGGGCCTCATTCGTTCTCTCCAATGCATTACCCCGACCAGTCGATTTGCTGTCAGCCTTGAAAAGCAAACCAACAGGCAGTGTTCTCCAGAATCCAATTAGCTAATGAGGCAATTTTGCCTTTATTCATCTACAAACCGTGATATCGATGAACTCGATCGATAAACTCAGATAAAAGGCCTTCATTCCACCATGAGGAAAATTATAAAACACGCAACAATCGCTGCTCGAATCAGACACACGTCGATATCTCTTTTCGATGAGTATGAAAGGATCGTCTTTGACGCTGTTGTATATAGCTAGTTATGTGACGGCCGAAAATCATCGTGATTCTACTCTTGATATCGCAAATTATACACTCTTCAAAATGCGCTACCAAGCTGTGTATTTTACAGCGAAATACGTTGAGTTGTATAGTGTGTGCGTTTATAGGATAATTCAGTCAAATGTATCGCTGTCTCCTATTCACTTTACTTCTTGATTGCTTCCTCTTGCTCGCTGAAGGGCCCTACTGTGAAAACCGCACAAAATCTCACTGGTAGAATTCGACTAGATTTCAACATTCCTGGACCTTTTGGTGCGCCAAGCTCACGAGCACCAAATGGCAACTGAATCATACCCCCAACTCAGACATCCCAGAACTTATCAAGAGTATCGTCTTACGATCTAACATTTCTCTGAGTGCATTGTGGTACACGGTTTCAGCTTCAAAGGTGACATTGCAAACTTAGCTTAGCTTCGCGCCTTTGGATTTGACACAAACACACCACGAATACTTGCTGAATCCGCAGTTTATTTGGAAACGTCTTCTGAACCCCGCCTGAAGATTGTTTTAATGTGTCGTTTTATTTGCTCACAACTGAGTATGGCAACACACGTGTTCGTGACTGGATTGTGTGAACGTTCATTGACAGGTAATTAGACCCGTCAGAGATTTCCAGGAAATTCCGGCTCATGTACCTGAGCATGGGCGTATTAGCGTCCCTCGGTTTATAGATTCTAAACACCGAATATTCATTTACCAAACAATCAGTTACATTTGCGTTGAAGAATGTGACATCGTGAAACTCACCGAAGTATCGGTTTGATCGCGCGAGGCCGTCAACAAATTACACATTCAGTGAAGAACGACACTCACATCGGAATATATCTGTATTTGACATGCTTACTTAATTCTTACTTTTTCAGTTGTCAAATTGGGCAACCTGCTTTCCCAGTACGCTCACTTATGTAAGTCGAGTTTATTCTCCTGAGAGCCTAATAATCTTGGATTATTTCCGCTGCCTTATAAAGGATGATCCAGTGTCCATCCATTCCATTCTTCATCCGAAAGCCTCAATGAAAATCCATCGATCTGGCGACTCGCATAAAATTAGTTTTTGTAAAATGCCTACTCTTAAATCCTCTTTTCGCGAGGAAATGCTACAGAATGACTAAACGAAATTCTGCAATAGATCTCACTTTCCAAGAGACGCGAAGTGGATTTACGAAGGGACATACTACCTACATGTCTCGTCAGCACTATCAACCGTGACCGCTATTATTATATGTAATATTGCATGTCATATCTCAATAACTGTGATAGTGATGCTTGCTCTAGTTGCTTGAATCACTCAGCTACTGAAATATATTCAGTAGGTTGTTTTTTGTTGTTTCCGCTGTCTCGATACCAGTATTGAGTCCCTAGGTTTCAACGGGGAAATATCTAGGCATTTGCAAGCACAAATAAAACAAATGATGACACAGGACAACCAAGTTACAATCTCGCGGATGCATAGTCTAAATTCAAACGCGTTGTTAGAATGATTCGCCCAAGTTCATCACCCCAGATTGAAAGAGCTGTAGTCCACTGTTTGGTATATAGACCTGTTCAATTGACTTGGTGGATGACGCAATCAAATTATTGACGATTTCTAAGTAGCCGAAGTGGAAGAATGGTATACAAGTCACGAGTATGTTTCAGCCGACAACACTTTACTCATGAAGCCAGTGGAGAGGCATCCGCCTCATGAGCACACGGTAATAGATTGATAAGTATCGTGTGAGAATTCATCCCTCTGAAGATGCGTGAAAAGTACACTACTCATACTTCCAAATTGGGCTGAAACAGCGGCGCAGTTCTTCTCGGCTTTTCGACAGCAGAAATGAACAGCCTGAAACTTCCAAGTCTCTCTCGACCGGTCGGTTGTGCTGTCGGTTAGTTTCTTCCAAATTGTTGAGATTCCTGTGACAAAGACTCGTATGTCAGTTAACCCCTGAAGAACCATCCTTGCCGCAATAGCTTCTGTGTTGCGCGTAGTTTCGTCAAACATTTTGATGAACATCTGGCATGAATGGCTGGACCAGCGACAGTGGAATAACTAACGCGTTTCTATTATCCTTCCTGGGACCGACACTTCCGCAAGCTTGATGAACATCTGGCACAAACGGCTCGACCAGCGACAGTGGAATAACTAAAAAGTTTCTATTATCCTACCTGAGACCGACACTTCCACAAGCTTCAAGTTATTCAAGGCATTTGACTAGGGGACTCTAATTCCGATGACTATCCAGTTCTGTACCGCACCTATTGTTGACCAAAGTGACTGCCCCATAACGAAGATAATACATTTTCGATTTCCTTTCTTTTAGTCACCTTCACCGCACATTATGCGTCGGCAACGGGCGGAACATTCCATCAGCTACCGACCAATACCCGTTAGTGGTGATTTTCATTATAGGCGCGTTTCAAATCAGTGCAGTTGTCGGGTAACTGAGAGAACGGACCTTTGGTTGCCTAGACGATAGTAAGCCATGAATTAGTCGTCCGGTTTCCGCAAGTATTTCTAAGAACCTGATGGATTCCCAAACGCATTTCTCTTCCGCAATTTACCCAAAGATTTCATCCTGTCTTCAAACGAGCAGATGCAAACTGAAATCGGAGCACACCGCGAATCATCGACGTAGCGTGGAACAGCATGTGACGCATTTAAGAGAATGCTAGCCCAGAGTTGTTCGAGTTTTTTACCGTTACTTTGGGAATAATTTTTGCCCCCAAACCAGAGAGCATTTACGTTACCCGAGCTACTAACATTTTCTTCTATAGAAAACCGGTGAGTTACGGCCTGGCGCAGCAAGTTGAACAGCCTTAAGGTGATTTTTTTAACTGTGAGTGAAGGTCGTTCCGCAAGAAGCATACATATTCATCCTCTTTTTGGCAAATACAGTGCAATAATGAAAGAAGGCCTTCGCTGTGGAGTTTTTTGCTAGAGAAACACCAAGTGAACAGTCACAGACTAGTAGACAGGGGAGGGAAACTGTCTTATGCTGTTTACAAAAACTGAATATTCATCCTCTCCTTGAACGCGTCTTCTTGAACGTTCCTGAATATTCATTGACTGTTACTCAAATGCAAACAAATGCTATAAAGTGACTCCACAAAATCCGTAATGGATCTAACATTTCAAGAGACGCGAAGCGGATTTACGAAAACACACTCTTCATGTGCATTGTTAGTAGTATCCACCGTTACATAGGTAGACAGGTTCTCATTGGACTTCAAACCTGTTCAGGCATACTGGAGTTGGAAAATATCGTGCTACGCATCACACTGCTGATATTCACCAATTGATTGTTTACCAACCATCATTTTCCGGTTTCCTAACACGCTAAATTACACGGGAGATGATTGCAAATGTCATCGTCATCATCAAAATGAACAGCGTGACATCAGTGTTAAACACCGATGCATCACTACCGTAGAGCGACGACTTATTTGCGAGCCTTATTGTGGATAGAAGAATAAAAGTGGACGGGGAAGGGACTTAGTGCTAGCTTACCACAATCATTGCGATGTGCCTATACCTCCATACATTCACTCAGGCGAACTGGATGTAAACTGACAACATAAACACCACTGACATGGGTTGACAGCCATATATTTTAGAGTCTCCAACTAGGTACAGTGAAGACACGCGATTCTCATCCTGGAAGGCGAGTGGCACCGACAGCACCCAATTTTTTCGTAATCTCTTTTAAAACGCTCTGCCAGTTCAAAAGTCATCCAATTCTCTAATTCCGCCACTCCAAACTGGACGCGAAAAATAACTCTCATCGAAAAACGATATTTCAGAACACACGACATAGGGCCTAAAAACGCAGACGCGGGTGCTCGACACATCCATCAATGGAAGTTCCAATGGAAGTAGCATGAGACACGCGTTCCTTTCGATTCAGAGTACACCACTCTGATATCACGGATGTCTCAGATTAGCAAACACGACCCAGCCCATGCGGGTTCGTGTACTGACCTCATCTGTCACACTACAATCAGAACTAACACACCTACCAAGATACATCGAACGCTCCACAATTTACAGTACGTCTGCCTGGATTTTAAGTGGCGCGTTTAGTGATTGCGCGCCCACGAGCATGACCGCATTATTTGTGGGTGAAAAGTGTATACGAGACGACAAAGATAGCGTCCGCAATCTCCAGCCAAACAAGGATTCCGTCAGAGTCAGAGTCAGAGTATACCGGGGTTTTGAAGGCCTTATAGCGTTAGTCCCGCGATTTGATCAAGCACGGAGTTAAATGGGAATGGAGAGAGTGGGTATTCCTCTCGGACACTGCTTCGTAAACGGAGCCTTTTGGAGATCATTTCGTATATTTACACACGTCCGAAGTCTGGAACTCCAAAGAACCTTTTGTGTATTCGCGAAATTCGTGGGTATTCCTTGATGAAAGACAGATTGTCAAGGATAACAAGGCCATCAACCGATTCATGTGCGACTTGGAATTCCAAGAATACTAGCATTGTAGGTCGCTTATACGTATGGCTTTGTTCTAGCATCTGATCAAATGTGAAGATTTGGTCAAAGCGACCCCTACCAGGGTATAATCTCACATGCTGATGTCGGGTCAGTGTTTCACGAGCACTATAGGACGGTGATGCACAGCTGACCTCAGCAGTCTCATGACAACCGGAGTTAAGTGGTTCCCCCGTGATAACCATATTCACAACAAAGCATAAAAGCACAAGCGAAATGAACGGGCGGCAATTTGCTTTGAATTCACAGCGAAGTGCGAAAAGCTTGTCACTGCAAGGATTCATAAAGGAAGACTGGACGCTAGGCTGAGGTCGTATTCATTACATAATCGGACGACTGATTTGCGGATCTTTTGCATGGTTGCCTTTGTGCGCACATGTGACTGTGAGGTGGTAGTTCGATTATTTGTCCAAACAAAGTGTCCTTGCTGATTGGCCTCGTCCATTCTGCGTAAATACAAACAAACAAAATGCTTGGACAGATCAGCATAAATTGATAGTGCTGTGGACTGCATTAACTTAGTGCCTTATTGTTCCCGTAAACTCTGGTCTGGATAAACGCTTGATCGACTGCTGCGCTTAGCCAAACCAGAAACATTCGACGAACGTGCTGTATCGATCACTGTCGCGTACAAGTGGTCGAAATCGATACTGAGAATACAACTCATCTGTCAAGGGCGATGGAAAAATGAAATCTGTCTCAAAGGCAAACGGTCATTCCGTTGGTAGTTATGTACTCGCGGTACATTCGGAGCTGGTTCTCCCAACAGGTAGTTTATCGTTAGCGCGCGTCTGCGATTCCAGGATTCTTGTATTAACGTCGGTGCTGTGTTCAAGAAGAGATTCAAGTGTTTATTTAAAAGATTTTGGTTTTATAGCGTAATAAAAAACACCATCTTGGTGCTTATAGCATCCAATCCTATACAAAATAGTATGAAAAGCCTGCCTATGAGCGAACGTATCCAGAGAAATTGACTTGCTATGTGACATCGTTGAACTCACGGCGAGTGGGATATATGGACAAGACGATTAGTAAATCACGTTGCGCCGCTGTAAAGACTCACAGAACACAAATTGTCGATGAAGGTGCGCGGCCATCTCGAAAAGCTAATCTGACAGGAAATCCGGTGTCCGAAGAACAGGGCAACTAACACTTTCATCTACACGACAGCATCCGTTCGGTCGATTGATTGATTGCAAAAAGTACGAAGCTGGAAACACTTTTTTCTTAAAATTTGTTTCAAAAGTTGGGACCGAAAACACATATGTGCTATGGAGAACGCGGTCCTTCGACGACCATTAAGTTCGGGTTGTCGATTACCGTGAATGTCGACGCGAGTATCGATTGTGAGTAGATAAACGTATTTCATGATCTCAGATACTTGCCATTAGGATTGCCCGGAAATCTCAAGCAAGAACAGAAACATGATCTGGTTTAGGCTTTCCTTTTCAACAAAAAGAAAAAAGGAACTCTTCCACCGATTGTCATATTCAGCGTGTATTTATTCTTCTGTAGGTCATACGTTGCCAATTCGTTTTTGGTTAGTCACTCCTGTCGATTGCATCTTTGTTGTGGATAGATTCTACATGTTCCTCAAGAGAGAGTACGCTTTTCCACATTGCTGGCAAATGTGTGCAACTTGCGTTCCGTGCTTCTTTCTCATATGTCGATCCAAATTCCATTTTCGAGAGAATACCATCACACATTCCTGGCACTGTACTTGTTTTTCATTCCGGTGAACGCACCGCTGGTGCCGACACAGACTGTTCCAATTTACAAAGCACCTTCCGCATTCGGAACATGGGTTTCCTCTTTCCTGTGATTCTTGCACCCGTTTGCTGGATGTTCTGCCCCGCATGTGAAATCCAGAACTATTAAACCTCCTCATATGTTCCTCGAGATTTCGCTTATTATTTAACGATATTTCGTACACACCGCAATAAAAGTCGGAAGTTCTAGCGTGCACTACTGTTTGGTGTCTCATGGCATCGGACAACAAAGAGAATGATTTGCTGCATGCTAAACACTTTTAGGGTTCTTCCTGGTCTACTCGTTTTTTTCGGATCTTCGGTTCTGATTTCCAACGGCACTGCTGCCGCTTAAAATTGAAAGAGGTGAAGAAATTGATGTCAGTTTCAATGGAATTTCCCTAAACGCAACAGTGAAAATATCATTGGAAGGGATCCTAGGAATGTTCAGTCGAGGCCTCACGCTATAGTTACACTTTCTCAGTTGGTGAAATTTGGAAGCATTTCACATATATTTCAACCCTGCTGGCAACTATGAGGAGAGCGAATATCACAATTTGCGGAGTGGTGCATTCTAGCAACCACCTGATTACCACGAAACCGTTCGATGGCGATCACCTATTCCATGGTTTATTCGACTCACGAGACAACACGCATTGCCACCCGTTCTTTAAATCGAGAGGAGTTTGCCGTGGCCACATTTCCACTGGCAGCAAGATTCGCCACCTTTCAGCTGGAAAGTACAAGTCAGTTGATAAAAGCCCCACCACCGCCGGGGTATTTACACTCTGTTTATAGCAAATTGGAGTCTGTCAGCATGACTGTCGTTGTGTATGTAAAACGAAGAACTCGGGGGTGGGAATGCAGCTAGTATCCTCCGGGCCGGATGAATTTGTTAGAGCTGATCTGTCCACTGATGTTACTCGT